AGATGGGTGTGCAGTGCCTGTGTGGAGATGGGTGTGCAGTGCCTGTGTGGAGATGGGTGTGCAGTGCCTGTGTGGAGATGGGTGTGCAGTGCCTGTGTGGAGAGCTCGTTCTGAAAACTAACAGCCTGTCAAATCAGAGCATCTTCCGATAATTTATAGCAACACGGTCAGGAGCTCCCTCTGAGATTGCGTGCTACTTTATGGCAGGAGTCTGAGCAGTTACTCTTTGTAGTAAAACCCAGCCTGAGGTCTTCAGATCCGCTCTTCTCAGACTCTGACACCAGTCGCTGTTCCTCTTCTCCCCTTTGCAGATGGTGCCCCCTTGAGCGAGCTCTCCTGGTCTTCCTCCTTGGCCGTGGTCGTTGTTTCCTTCTCTGGGCTCTTCACCTTCATCTTCCTCATGCTGGCCTGCCTGTGCTGCAAGAAGGGGGACATCGGCTTCAAGGTGAGCGGCCGCCTCGGTGTGTCCCCCCCCCCCCGGAGACACTCGGGGGAAGCCCTGGAGGGTTGGGCCCCCTGGAAGCACCACATGCCTCGGCGCTTTAAGGAGGTTAATTCCTGGAAGCAGGCTAACTGCTGTATTCCCCGGCCAATTGAAATGGCCGATAAGTAGGTCTGCCTTGCTGCGCTCCTGTAACACATCTTCTGATTGGTCGGTCACATGCAGCGAGTGTGTCGGCAAGAAACTAATGCACGGTGAAACATGCCAGTACCGGTGCTTCTCCCTTTCTGGCAGCTAGTTTGGATGAAAATGCCTTTGCTTTAAACAGACCGCGGATCGGGGTTTGCCGGGGGAGCCGGAATCGCTATTCAAGAGCTCTGTCACCCTCCCCCCCCCCTTAATGACTGAGATACATCGTGTAAAGATGAGTGGACATTATTCTTTGCGGATTTCATTTAAAGTGGTGGATCTACCCTTAAGATGAGGGTTTTCATCCAGAATTTGCTTCAGCATTTTATGGGAGGGATTGTCACAGATTACGAGACGCTGGGTTTTTAACAAGGGTGGGGCTCACGACACCCTGAGATCCACGCTGCGAGCCAGACGTCGTTCACTCCGTCGTGCGGGGAGATCGTCATTGCCGCTGGAGACTGCAGCTGGACTCACGAGCTCTGGAAGTCATGCCAAGGCGGTCCTCCCAGGGACACGCCCAGCAGGGAGCCCCAGCCGAGGCCGTGGAAACATGCCGTTCCTTGGCGTAGCTCGGCCCTTAGTCAGCAGGGCCAGCGTACCTTACATTTTGTCTCGTGTTTCATAAAGGAAGCGAAGACATATCAGGCTTTTTGCTGTCCAGATGTTGGCCCAATAATTACCAGAACTGTTGAGATCTCAGCTCAAAGATACAACATATGCTCTTCATCTGGGAACTGAACCAGCAGCCTTAAGGTCACATTAACCACTACGCCCCCTACTGCCCTGGGAAGGACTCCAGCCTCCCGCAGCCTGAGCTCCCGTCTTGGTCTTACGTTTAAGTGTGGCTAGAAAACCTGATGAAAGATTCTCTCGATTGTTTGGTCATACTGGCAACTTATCGATGTATTTCTCTGAGAGAACGACATGCATGGTGAAGGCAGGATGAGATGGGGTAGGGCTGAGTCTGGGTGGCGATGGTCATCTCACTTAAATTAGTCCATAGCAGGGTTGCCCAATTCCAGTCCTGTGGGAACAGAATCCAACACAGTCTGCAGATTTCCCTGCTCAAACACGTTTTAATCTGCCCAAGTTTAGTGGGTGTGTTTGAAGAGGGAAATCTGCAGACTGTGTTGGATTCCGGCCCCGCAGGACTGGAATTGGGCAACCCTGCTGTACAGTGATGCTACCCACTGTAGCAGCCCAGGGATCCCCCGTGTACTAGACTAGGCTTGGAAGGTCGTCCTTCTGCTGGGTCCCAGGCAGGGAGTGGGGTAGGGCTTTCTCTGAGTGTGTGCAGATGTGTGTGTGTGTGTGTGTGTGTGTGTGTGTGTATGAGAGAACTCCACACATGCTCACGTGTTGTCCAGCCCCAGAGAGCAAAAGAGGGAGGGAGTGTGTGTGTATATATGTGTGTGTGTGAGAGAGAGAGAGAGAGTGATATCATCAGCGCAGAATGTTAATATCCTCATCTCTGGTTTCTTTCGGAGTGGTGTAATGTTTCCTGTTTGTTGTGAGGGTTCTCTCTTGGCTTTTCCCCTCGTACCCGCGTTCAAAACAGCTCCGGGATTCGTGCTCTTGTGCTGGGACATCAAGTCTTTCTCTCTCTCTGTCTTTCCATCTCTGCCTCTGTCTCAGTATCTCTTGCACTGTCTATCTGTCTGTCCGTCTCTCTTCTGGCAGTGCCGAGTTCTAATGGGGGAGCATCTCGAACGCTCTAGAACATTCCCCCACCCAGGGGTGAGACAATGGCCTTCTATCTGGGAGGTGGGGTTGAGGGGTGGGTGGGTGGGGGGGTCACCGGCTGGCTGCAGGCTTCACGGTTGGTGGGGCCGCTTCAGCATTCCGTGGCTATAAAAGCTGGCCTTGCGACACCCCCCCCCTTCGGCGGGACTCGGGGAGGGCAGGATGTGTACGCTGGACTCGGGGAAGCGTGGAAGGTGCCGGGGTCGGACCCCGCAGGGCCCCTCTGAAGAGCCAACGTTGAAGCCCGGTGAGGGTAGGGGGTTTCTCCTGATCTCGCGCAGGGGTACGGGAGTCGAAGACGGCACCAGGTGGCATCTTGAAACGCAAGGGTTGTAGCTTGAGGGTCGCGGCTCAGTAGTCAGGCGGCTCTCGACCCCAGAAGCCCTTGTAATGGAGCTGTGTTTGAGGTCAATATGGAACATAAAGGAGCCCACAAGGAATAAAATGTGGTCGGCATAGACAAATGGTAAGTAAAAGGCTGGTCTTGCTATGGGAATAAGTTCATTAGCTGTGAAATACTGTAAATCTAACCTCGAAGTACCATGAGCATGTACTGTCAATGTGTCCTGCATGGATGTCGGACGTTTTTTAAGGCGATGGTGTTTCTGTTAGTTAAGCAAGGTTCCTGGATCTGTCTCCATGTGCAGATGTCAGCGAAACTGTACTTTCTTTCTTCAACAACAGTCGTCTGGTTGACGGTTTTGGGTATGAACTCTACTTTCCGCTTTGGTTGACTGGGAAGCCTGCGGGAGTCTTTGCGATGCTGCATGCGCTTTCTGCGGCAGAAGGGTTATCGTGTTGATGGATAGATTCATTTATTTATTGATTTTCAGATTTATTGTTTGACATCTTGTTGGAAGAGGAGCTGCAATTTCCTGTGTACTTAGCATATGATTGATAGGCATGTGGCAAGGGGAAGCGGATGGAAATTATCCCTAGTTCTCTATATGCCAAACAGAGAGAGGGGAAAAAAGGGAATATCAATGAAAATCTGGTTTGCAGGTTTTTTTTGTCTTGCTGTGAACATTTCATTCACCAAAGCAATACAGTATGCTTCTAGAGCAGATCATTGAGTTTCTGATGGTACTTTGATGGTATAGAGTAACTGAGAAGATCCACAATAAATGCAACTGATGTGTGCAGTTTGGTGGGAAATGCATTTGTGACACAGAGCAATAAGTGGGACCAGAAGCCACACTAGGACTGTGTGAAGCTGTTTTATTCAAGACGCCCCACCAGGGACAGGATGGAGTGGAAAGGGGTGCGGGGGGTGAGGTCGAGGAGGTTGCAGTTTTCCATTATGACTGTAATGGATGAATTTAGAAGAATATTTGATTCTGAATATTTCCAGCATGGTATCTCGTTCTTTTTGTTCCCACTGGACAGGAGAAAATCAGTTGTAAACAGAGGGTCTACATCTTCAGAAGTTTCAAGAGTCAGGAGGTCACGCCTTGGCGTCCCTGAGCACAGCAGTGCTCCATCTTGCCCTCATACCACCGACCAATGATTGGCCTGGTATATCTTGGCTCTGTTTTGCTCGTCGACATCATAACTGTGTCTCTTTTGTCTCTGCACCTCTTCCCCCACCTCCTTCCTTCCATCACCCTGCCCCCAACCCCCCCTACCGCAAGGAGTTTGACAACACGGAGGGTGAGGAATACCAGACGGACCTCTCAGCCGTCGGCTCCCCCGCGTCACAGACGGACCCTGAGGTTTACGTCCTGCCTCTGACTGAGGTGTCAGTCCCTGTGTCCAAGCAGCCGAGCAGATCAGGTAAGATTCTCCAGCGTTACTCCTACACCAGCATCACCCGGAGAGACCATGTCCTCTCGGTCCATCAGCTTGTCTTGTGGCACCTGTGAAACGGGCAGCTAGATGTCTAAAAATGCATGTGGTGTATGAACTGCCCACACGACTCATGAGAGGTTGCAGAAGAAGAGAAGTGGATTCTAATGGTAGCAGTGCTATCTTGTGAAGGTAAAGTAGCGTAGTAGAGTATTTGAGACAAGAGAGGACTACATATACCATACATATGACTAGATGAAAAGAATCACAGGTACAAAATACTAGCGGAAGTGACGTAACTAGAATAAGAACATGCAGGTACCCATCGACTTACATCTGGGTTACGTTCCAGAAGTGATGATGTAAGTCATTTTGGAAGTATCTCGATCATTATTGGGGAGATGTTAAGTATTCTGTAAAACACAAGATACTGTATCACACACGTTTTAATTAATGTCGCACGCATGGTAAGATATCTCCACTAACGCCCACTACGTCTGCTTCGGACACCTCGATTGGACGTTACTCGATAGGACGCAAGTCGACGGACCACTGTATTGTGCAGGGTGCTACTGCATGTAATGGAAACGGCAGGGAGGGACAGAGCGTAGCAGGCTAACTGGAATGCGCTAACTTGGGAATCCTGTCAGCACGGGAAGCTGGCATGAGGGCGGCTGTGAAAGCAGCATCGTCTCTAGGCAGCGATGACTCACTGAGTGCCGATGGTGGGTGCAGGGTGGAGGGGGGGGGGCGATATGGAAGTCGGGGCTGATGTAAATTTCTGTTTGAGGAGAGAAGCAGTGATTGGTGGAGGGGGAGTCTCTCAGCTAGCCAATCTCTGGTAAATCCTATAAGTAAGGCTGCATGACTGGTGCAGGTGTTGTGGGCTGAGAAGGAAAGGGGTGGGGCAGTGGTATTTATTTTTGTGGAATGGTGGGGGGGGGCTCATCGGCGGCCGACTTCTGCTTCCTCCCACTCGTCCCCAAGGTCTTAGACCTTCCCGCGGAGCGCGATCATAGCGATCCACCCCGATGCAGCTGGGCAGATGAGAGATTTCCACATCTGGTTGGTTTTACGTCCAATACGGCGCGGAATAGCATTTCAGTTATTTTGCTTCCACGCTCTGAAAACGATTCCTGTCTCTTTGTCTCAAAGTCATGATAAGGAAATGAGCTGACAGAACAGGAAGGTGGCATTTCACATTTGAACGCTCCATGATAACACTTGTCTGTGTATTTATGTTTTAACTGCTTGCTAGGACTGGTATCCGATCTTGCTCCTCTTATGTTCCTTTACATATAGACACACAGTGATACAGTATCTGCTCCATCTCTGTCAAACACATACACACACACACACAGTCCACTTATTCAGATCTTTGTGGGGACTCTCCATTCATTTCTATGGGCATAACCCTAATCCCAACTATGACGACCTTAATCCCTACCCAGCCCTAACCTTAACCATAAGTAACCAAATAAAATACAAGACTTTTGGCTATTTTAGATTTTTGATTGCATTCACAGATTTCTATAAAATTGACTTTCCCTTTGTGGGGACCGAAAAAAAAAAGTCCCCACAAGATAAAAAGCTATGGATTTCTATCGCGTTGTGGAGAAATCTGGTCCCCACAATGTAATAATTATAAAGGCGCACACAGACAGGCACAGACACACACTGACAGTGGTAGCAGCTGTCAGTAGGCCTCAGCGGCGCTGGCTGTGTGTGTGTGTGTGTGTGTGTGTGTGTGTGCAGTCCAGGCTATAGCCTTGTGAGGACTCCTCTGCTTGCACTGGCCCACGCCGTTGGTTTCATGTTCGAGGACGGGGTCCGCCTGGTGCCTGACCCCCATGTTGGAATGCCACAAGTAGGATGGGGGAGGGAAATAAAAAGAGACACCACTATGTCCCTTTTAGTGGGTGGGTGGATGGGTGGGGTGGGAGGGGGGTGTCATCACCATGACAACCACCGCCTGGAACAGCAGTGATCCAGAGAATAAGCCCGCTCTGTGTGCCAGTGTCCCGGTACGGGACGGCGCTGGGGGCTGGACAAAGGGTGCGATTCTTGCGGAGCCCACCCGCGTGATTGCCGGCCCTTGGAGCATGGTGCGGAGGTGCGGCTGGAAGAGACAGAACAGGGATGGGACTGTGAGTCCCCGGGGGGTTGGGTGTGGGGGGGCAGGGTGCATCATAGCGACTGGGGGAGGGTGGACAAATGACACAGGCACTATTGGTGCTCACAGAGCTCCGTTTGTCTGTCTTTCCCACGGAAAATGCTAATTTCCCCCATACTTGGGATGACAATAAGCGCTTATTGTGATATTACCCTTGTCCAGAGAGAGTGGTGCCGTGCTGCATTCGCATGCACACCGGGGAACCCAGGCAAGGTCCGTCCCAGAGTCACTGGTCTGTGCATCCGCCAATTGCCGAGAGGGGAAGCACATCTGGACATTTAGGGTGGGGCTGTGATTTTACCAAGCAGGCAGCTGAATCCAGTAAAACATTTAGTAACTTGAAGAGATTTACTTGGTCCTGTGTTTCACGGACACTGTTGGTGGCGGCTTCTCCGTTTGGCCTGAAACTAGGAGAAAACTTGTCCGCGGTGTTTACACATGTAATACATACCATCATAATGCATAATAAAAGTCAGCATAAGCCATTATAATGCATTATGGAGATATGATGGAGGTGCATTATAGATGAAAGCTTCACAGAGTATTCATAATGCGTAAAAAACATGGCTATAATGTGTTATGCCTGTTTATAAATAGTTATAACCGTGTTCATGATACTGTATGAATGCATTAAAAGGCATTATGAAGGTATCTATAATGCATTATATATCAGAGCTTTAAGTAAAGTGCCACCAATGTTCCTTTCAACTCTTTCATTAGATAAATCTAGAAGATATCTTGAAGTAGTTTTATTTTCATGTCAGGTTGTAGGTTTTACTTGGTAAGCTTAACACTAGCGTTCTGTTTATTTATATATCTTCTCTCCACTGAAAAGTTACAGTTATATCGACATACATGACCCACAACTAGACTAGGACTACTGTATGTGTGTGTGCCTCTGCCTGTATTTTGTACAGCGATTCTCACCTGTGTGAATTCACTATAGTGCCATTTGGGTTTATGTGAAGAGCCTGGAAATGACTTGGAGACTTGCAGCAGTCAGGACTCTCATCCGATTAGTAACACATTTGCATCCACTCCATTGTCTGATCCCTTAATACATTACTGTTCGCTACATGAAGTGCTATCAGTGCCGATGTATCATCTCTGGTAGGGTCATAGGTTTACCTTAAGTAGCATTTGCAAGCATGTGTTTGTGACTGGAGGTCTCTGGCTGGTATGGTGGATCTCTGGGTTTCAGTGCTTCGTCTAAGCAGCCCCTACTTTGTTGACCCGTATCCAGTTCAGCTGCTGAAGTCATCGGACCTGGGGCGCCATAGTCTGCTGTACCTCAAGGAGATCGGCCATGGCTGGTTTGGCAAGGTGAGGCACGCCGTGCTGATGCTGCATTTGTGGCACATTCAGGCAACATAGTGATAATCTCAGCAATCTCTCTCTTTCTATTTGCTGTGGTTCCACGTCGGCTTCAGGTTCTGCTGGGGGAGGTCAACGCGGGTCACAGTGCCACCCAAGTGGTGGTTAGGGAGTTGAAGGCCAGTGCCAGCATCCAGGAGCAGATGAGGTTCTTGGAGGAGGTCCAGCCCTATCGGTCTGCACTTCACCTTGTCTTGTCCCCATCCATCATCACAATGGTTTGGCTACTATGTAATGCAAATATAATGAGATGCCAGTTTAGCGTAATAGTTAAAGTCATGGACTTAGGTGGAAGGTTGCAGATTTGATTTATGCTGCTGTATAATTGTCAAAATCATAAGTCACCTTGAATTATGTGCCAACTAAACAGATAAATGTAAATTAATACGCAGACATAATTCATAAAAACTGTGGAAAATCAATTAAGGTCACAGCCTTGAAAACAGGAGGCAGAGTGACGGAAAGCAGTGCAGAGCTCATATGTATGAGGTTGGCCAGTTGGTCTACATGTTCCTCCTCTCCTTCTCAGAGCCCTCCAGCACCCTGCCCTTCTGCAGTGCTTGGCACAATGTTCCGAGGTCACCCCGTACCTGCTGGTCATGGAGTTCTGCCCGCTGGTGAGTGCAGAGTTTCAGGATGTTTCTGAGGAAGTGGGACTTTTCCACCCTGCCCCCCTTCCCAGTGGTCTGGCAGTTATGCTAGCTACGCCAACTAGCGTGTCACCAGTTTCCTGCTCATCGTAGGGGGACATGAAGGGCTACCTGCGTAGCTGCCGGGCGACTGACTCGATGACCCCTGACCCCTTGATTCTCCAGCGAATTGCATGCGAGATCGCCTCTGGTCTTCTGCATCTCCACAAATACAGCTACATTCACAGGTAGGTCAACCGTTCCAGTCTTCTGTATTCCATTTTTGTTCCACTAACTTCTGACATATTCATTACCATCAAAAGTCACTGCACGAAGCACAATTAATTCTGAGGACCCTTGTAGGGTTTCTCCATGCCCAAACTGCTCTGAATTCGCTCCAGGCAGCATACCTGAGCTGCATCGTTCTCAGAAAGCCCCAGATCTGGCTACCAATTGGTCAGTCCCTGTAACAATATCCTGGTGCTGCCTGAGTAGGTCTGGAAAACTCCAGCATCAGTGATTTTGTTGCTGGGGTTGAACACTGCCATCATCGCCGTGGATGCGTCCGTTGGATTTCTCGTCTTTGGTTTTCAGCTGCATTAATACGTAGCTTGAGAGAGGTGGGAGAAGAAGATGGGCATTGCTTTGCAGTACGGTCCTAGATATCTGGCTCCACACGTTATTAGCTTTACTGCTAAAGTTTGCTTATGAGGGACCAGCCTGATTGTTTGCTCTCTCATATGGCCTCAGCTATGTGTAGGATTGTGGAAGAGAGTCAGGCTGCCGTCCTTTTCCAGTGTCTCTGGTGTCATTAGTCACTGTCACCACCTCTACTCCCCTCTCCCCCCAAAATCTGATATCATCCTGCAGTGACTTAGCCTTGAGGAACTGTCTGCTGACTGCAGATATGACAGTGAAGATCGGGGACTACGGCCTCTCCCACGAAAAGTACAAAGTAAGTGTGATCAGACAGACAAATCACATTTGTGGTACGAGAAACAGATAATGCAGGCCCTATTTTTTCGAGTTGATATAACAAATAGAGAACAACTGCACAAAAGTAACTTCATTCTTTAATCTGAAATGTTGAAATTTATTGAAAAATGTAACACTGATTAGTAATAATATATTAAATCCCACATGGTGGCATTAATGGTTGAAATGCACCATTTGGGATGGGCCCATTGCTGTAGGGTCAAGATAGGGTCAAGGTGTCACCATTGGGTAACCTTGAACATCTCTGATGACAACTTTAAGGATGACTACTTCGTGACACCGGATCAGCTGTGGGTCCCCCTTCGTTGGATTGCCCCAGAGATTGTTGATGAGGTCCATGGCAACCTGTTGACGGTGGACCAGACCAAGTCCAGCAATGTCTGGTAAAGACAGGGGAGGAGAGCCAAGGGAATTGTGTGCTGTTTGTTATAGTCAAGCCATATTCACACCTTGCTTTCAGGAGGGGATCCACAGGGTGGATTCTTTTCTGTTGAAGGAGGATTAGCTATGGCTTTATTTCCTAGAGAAGGGTAGATGAATAGGAGTGAATCACTGCATGACAACTCGATGTAGTCTAGCTGGTGGCATCTTCAGTTGACCAGCAAATCTTACAGTAGGGTTGCATGTTTGGACTTTGCAGGTCTCTGGGCGTGACAATCTGGGAGCTCTTTGAGCTGGGCAACCAGCCGTACAGGCATTACTCAGACAGACAGGTGCTCACCTATGCCGTGAAGGAGCAGCAGCTGAGACTGCCAAAACCCCTGCTTAAGATTCCGCTTTCTGAACGCTGGTGAGTGACCCGTCTGAAATCCTGGTCCAGTGGCACGTAGGCAAATCAGATGTCCAGGTTAATTCACAGAGCTGAAGTGGCAGACATACACGGAAAAAATGTAATTAATGCGAGTATTCACGAATACCTGCTGGTCCAGTTAAGGGCTATATGAGTAGTCCTGACTGACACTGTTGTTCACTGCAACAGAAAAAGGGCAAGTCATTCAGCTCTACTGATTCCATAGTAGGTCTGAACAACTAAGTCATTCTAATCAAGTGATGGAATAACCTTTCTCTCATATTAAGAACATTCTGCTGATGCATATAAACAGAGCTTATTCCACTCATTCGCTTTCACCCATGATTTCTTGGTAGATCCTCAGTGACCAATTCACATTAATGGCATTCTGAAAACCACGTGAGCTGTTATTAAGAATTAAAAATTAATTTCCCTTCCACCCCATGTCTGGTTTGGGATCAGGTATGAGGTGATGCAGTTCTGCTGGCTGCAGCCTGACCAGAGACCCACTGCTGAAGAAGTACATCTACTGCTGGGCTACCTGTGCGCCAAGGGCTCCAGTGAAGGGGAAGAGGAGTTTGAGGCGCGATGGAGCTCCATGAGGCCTGGTGCAGGTCATGGTGGTACCGAGGTAGCTGTGGAACTGGCCTCCTCTGCGTCGTCCTCCTTCCCCTTGCTGGAGAACTTCTCTGTGGGTGAAAGCTTCCCTGACGAATCAGGGGATGACATTCTGACGGTGACGGAAACCAGCCACGGGCTCAACTTTGAGTACAAGTGGGAGCAGATGCGCCACGAGCAGCCCTACTGTGCTTCCTCGACCAGTGGACGGCTGGGTCAAAGCAATCCCCTTTATCAGGACATCTATTATCCAACCAGAGGTGCAACGGACAGCTCTGGTGGTGATAGGAATGTCCTTGGGGTGTCCCCTTCTTTCTACAAGGCCAAGGAGCTGAATACCCCTGGGGTGGTGCCCGTTCTGAGTGCCCACAGTCCATCAGTGAGTAGCGAGTACTACATACGCATTGAAGAACCCGTTGAGTGCAACATTAACCTGGACTGTAGCCCAAGCTTTGAGGGGCATTTCAGTGGCATGCCAGGCAGTGGTGACTCTGGCAACTGCCCTGGTGAGGTCCAGGCGAATTCCTACTGGTCGGCAGGCACTCACAAAACTGATTCCTATGACTCTGACACCAGCCTGACTGTCTCTCCTACCATGGAGCCTCTGTTGAGGCGGGCATCTGGGGATAACTGGAATTCTGGACAGCGGTTCTCCTACAAAGATGGCGAGGAAGAATACCACCAACATTCACCTGGAGGGACGGATAACCAGCTTCTAGAGGATTGCCCTACGGACACCCACCAGAATAGGTGGGGAATGCACAGCCTGTCCCAGGGGGTGAACGAGATAGGGAGCCCATTCACAATTTCCCCACCACTTTGTAGCCCCAAACTGGGGTATTGTGATCCTTACTTGGAAGGCAGACAGGGGTCCATTGAAAGTAAAAGTACAGCTATCGATGTTTACAACACAATGATGGGCTCCCTACAGAAGGCAACATCTGGACCATGTACTATCGACATTGACATAGAGACAGAAGAAAACCTGATCGTAGAGGAGCTTGAAAGCAGTTCTGGGGATGAGGCGTATTTGTTCACAGAAAAGGTGACCAGCAAATGGAGCTCAAACTGTTCTTCCAACAACAACCATTTGAACTTTGAGTGTGGGCCATGTGTTAGAGGAGTCCAAGAGACATGCGTGGACATTCACTACACTACAACTTTTCCAGATATGGGAAGCTCATGGCCCGAGATAGCAGAGGTTAAAGACATTCAACATTCAGCAATCAACCTACCCATACCTCTTCCTCATTCAGAAATTGCAGCTGAAATCTGTGGTGGTATCGCTCTCAATGAGGTCAACATTCAAGTCTTGGAAGAATGCGGACCGTATAGCCCTTTGTGCAATGAAGGAAACACAAGATCAGAGTCACTTGTTAATCTCCGACAGATGGCAGAAAGTCCTCCATTTATTGATGCACTGATAAGCCCGACTGACAGAAACTTTAACTTTAACAGTCATTTAAATCAGGAAGACATAGAGATGCCTTGGGAGGAAAATAAGGAGATTCCATCTCCTTCAACAGGAGGCAGTGTTTTGTCTCTGACAGAACCATTGGACAGTCAGGGGGACTCAGAGCTAGGGAATGAAGAATCAAGGTCAAATGTCTTGGAATCAAACACAGCTGATGAAACAATTGAGCAAGCCGTAAATGCGATGAGTGTTAATGTCGTTCAGGCCAGCCCATCTGCCCTCTCCGAGAAGGCCCCATGCTCCCCTACCGACGTACCACAGGAGCCAGCATCGGAGAGCAGTCAGACTGCAGACAGTGGGTTGGAGGCCAGTTGCTTCAGTGTCAGCATGGTAGACATTGACAACTGCAGCGATGACGACGATGACATCACAGATGTCACATCTGGGATTTTCACGGACATTGTGGATTCGGTCGAGGTGACAGCTGATATCAATGTAACTATTAAGCACCACCAGAAAACCATAGAAACCCCAGACTCTGTAGATTCAGTTGACTTGCCCTCTGTCACAGGCTCCTGTGAGACATTCAGTCCTACATCCTTCTGCCCTTCTTCTCAGTCCAAAGCCCTAGATAGTGGGTATGACACAGAGAACAATGAGTCACCAGAATTCATCTTGAAGGACACTTCTGAGCCTCGGCTAATTGGGAGTCCAGTTTTGGGAGTAGTTGAGGCAGAGATGGTTCTTCAGGTAGATTTGGACAAAGGTGTAGATGCTGTGGTTTCCCTTTCAGCATCCAATAACACCAAAGTGGAACTGACTAGCTTGAGTGAGAAGAACCCATACAGGGATTCTGCCTACTTCTCGGACTATGACACTGAAAATGAGAGATGGTCACGGGAAGACGAAGGTGACTTTCCAGAAAAGTTAGGAGACAATGACCTTGCTGGCCAGGAAGCTGAGAAGGAGGACCTTTCCAGGTACACAGGAACAGAGCAGTTCAGTCCTCATATTAAAGAAGGGGGCAAGCATTATTTTGAAGGTTTGGATAAAGGCAGGGACATTATAGAGTTTGATAACAAGCCAGAATCCAGTGCTTCCTCAGTTCCTGTCCTTTCTACCCTCTCTCCCTCCCCCCCTGAAATGGGGGGCTGCCTGACCAAAGAATCCTCTCAGGATGAGGGTTTGGGACTGGATTCTGAGCATTCTGGAGAGGATCAGTCCTCAGAATGCACCTCATCCTCATCCACGGTATCAACGGTGTCTTCCGCCCAGCAGGAATACTCTGCTTCAGGTGACCAGGTGAAGAAAGGCACAGAGGACTCCCCTGGGCCCTTGTCATCAAACTCCACCTCTGAAGATATTCCTGAGGAAGTCTTGAGAGAGCTTGAGGGTGACAAGGATGAACTAGTGCCGGATTGTACTGGGGCTGAGGAGAAGGTGGAAGTAGATGAGAATGGCTCATGGGGAACCTCTTCCAAAACACTGAAAAATCACACAGATGAAATGGGTCTTTCTGAAACGGTAGAGGACACAGTCCCTCTTGTGCCAATAGCGGATGGGGAAGATGCGGACGAGGAGGAGACAGATGACAGTGAGGAGTCGGACGAGGAGCTCGGCTGTTATAACATTCAGGAGCAGAGCGAGGAGAGCGATGAGGAGCTGCCAGCCGTGCCCATCGTGGTTAGCGACCGCAGCAACACCCGGCACCTCCGAAGCCTCCTCAAGATGCCCTCCCTGCTTACCGAGTCCTTCTGCGATGAGCTGGACCGGAAGAAGAAGGCGGTATCCTTCTTCGATGATGTCACCGTCTACTTGTTCGACCAGGTTTGTCAGCTAAAATACTTGCCCATGCAGCATTAAGGTATTCCGGAAGTTATGGATAGGTTATGCAAAATTGCAGTTTCACTGAAATAGACAAAGAAGCCTCATACTCAGCAGGGTCAGTCGAACTGGTGAAGTGTTTATAGTAATGTCCTACAGCCCTGGATAGTGACATCTGCAGCTTTCCTTTGCAGTTAATCTCACTGTGTCACTGAACTCAATTCTTTTTCCAAGGAGAGTCCCACTGGTGATCTAGTGGAACCCATCTTCCCCTCGGGGGAAGAATCCAGCGGACAACCAAACTCTGATGTGTGTGACCCATCAGCGAAAGCCAGTGTCTCAGATGACTCTTCGGATGGGAATGTTTCAGAAGAGAGTAAGCTTGCCGTGCGGACACAGTCTCTAAATATACGTGCCTGTTGCGTTGACTTTGAATTTTGACAGCCAGGGGATAAGTTATGTTCACTGATGGTAGCATAAAACATCAGTACAAATGCACATTAGTTGTAACTTCAAATCTAACACTTGTTAGTGTTGTACACAATATCTACAGTTAAAATAAAATGCTAAAGAGCTTGAGTATAATATGACAAGACATAACGCTCTATATTCTAAATTCAAAATGATTAATTGCTCAATATGTATGAATATATAGGAATACACGTGAAGATATATGTTGGAAACAACTTGTTCTTGTATTTTTGTGGCCTTATTTAACCTACTTAAGAACATCTTCAGACTGGGATTCAGTCTCATTTTTGAGATTCCATTCAAGGATTCAAAGATTCAAAGTTTTATTGTGATTTTTTCAAAGTACAGTGTACAGAGTACAATGCAATTCTTACTTGAATGCTTCTTAACACAAAGCATGTTCACGCAGGCGGAGGATTCGAGTGGGATGACGACTTCCCGTTAATGTCCGACCAAGATGCTGTCATGCCAGCCGCGGAGGAGCCTGCGACCTGCACCCCCTCCCCCGTGGTCCCGGAGGCGAAGCCGGTTGCCCCATTCTCCCGATTCAGCGTCTCTCGCTTCTCAATAACACACGTGTCGGACTCAGACGTGGAATCTGCGGGAGGTGAGCCCTGGTCATGATGACGAGAAAGCAGCACTTTGTTGACACTTGATCAGTTGTCCGGCTGAGGGTTGTAATCTAATAATTGGCTGACAGGTCGCTGTCAGTAATTAAGTGTTCTGTTGAGAGCATCGCGAATGCGATAGCTTCCATTGAGTTTGGCATGTTTACAGAATGTGTCTGGTGTGGTAAGCACTTCCCATAAGTATTAGGTAACTCAGACCCGAACTCACACAATAGGATGAGGCAACGCTGACTCGTAATTCTTGGCCTGTAATACCATCCCCTCTGTCCTGCAGGGAGCAGTGAAGACGGGGATCGAGAATGAACGGCTACTCCACCCTCTACACCCCCTCTCCCCCCCTCCCTATATACAAACACACTGCTGTGTGGCTCGGAAAATGTCCCAGGCCATCTCATAAAAGAGCAGCTCTTTTTGGGTGGAGGGTCTGAGTTTTTCCTTTTCCCTCTTTTGGACTTACCCTCGGCGACCCTGGGTGCCCCTATCACATCACATCCTACAGACCTGCTGAGTATTATGTGGGTAATGGACTCAGAGAAGAAAACAATATACAATGTATCTATAAGAAAGAAACATATATTAAGATAAATATTTAACTTATATATACATTCTCTCATAATTTATGTTGCATTCCACATTGGAGGTTTTGTTGTATAGGAAGAATGCGAAGAAAGGCATTTGGTTTCACTGTCCTCATCTCTGGTTGGCTGCTGGTACCTGCTTGCTGATTGGTCCATATGTACAAGAGGTTTGGGAGGCAATCTTGCCCAGTGCATTAGGGACATAAAAGCAGCCTACTAAGAGACCAGTCTGGCTGGGTAGAGAAAGGAGCTAATTATCCCATGATGTACTGCCTATGACCTTCTAGAATGTGAAATCTAAGGGATGCTGGACAATTGATAAAGGACCTGAAGGTGTTGGGGGTATTGAACCCATGTGACAGCACTGGGCACAAAGGAATTCTCTCAACCCTCATGGAAAAAAATTTTGGCCGAACAATGGTTGGTTTCTTGTCAAAAATCTCTAAACTGTTGTTTCCTACTCATTTGCAGAGACAAAAGAACTCCTCTTGCCTTGTGCCAAGTTGCCATCTTGAAGAACCATTCGATACAGAGATGGATCTAATCAGAGAGGTGTATTTTTAAATAACTGAGATTTTAAAACTTCCACATCTAGGTGGTTTTCTTAACATTGTCTTGGCACTGCTGTACACAACATGGGTTTTTGAGTCCTCTGCATTCCATCTCTGGAGATGAAACTTCTTCAAAATGTCCTCAGGCTCAGGTGACGATGGAGACGCTGTTGGACAGGGATGCAGGGTAGGGAACTGATTCTGAGCATTCTTGCAGCTCCGGTGCCACATGGAGTCCGACGGCTCCTTCAGAAGTGGGTAAATGGGGTGGTTCTGTTATCTCTCCAGAGCCCCCCCCCCCCCTCCAATGTAGTAGGGAGGGCAATGGCCTCCATGTCCGTCACCCCACTGCGTGAATAAGGACATTTTCCTTCGCCTCATTTCAGACAATTTCCATCACACGTCAAAAACCATCAGCTCTCGTCAAAGGATGCAAGAGATTTACTCGTAATCCCATGAGCATATAGACATAGGACTGTTCTAGTATATCATTCGAGAAAAATACTTTTTTTTGTAAACAATGCACATGAAATATACACAATTATGTGATGACAAAAAAAAAATTCAAGATGTACAGTGGAATACTTATCGATGCGTCCCGAGCAGGGAAAATCATGTTATATAATATGGTATAATATGGCAGTGATTAAAGATCTATTTCAGAGTTTGTGTAACTGTCAAATGTATCTCGTCCTTTCCTGCTCGGCTAAATTATCGATGGTAATTCGATTTTGCTGTGGGAATGCCTGACCTTTTGAAATTGCCAGAGAGACATGAATACAACGTATACTCCATCTACTAGTCTACAGGTTTGTTGCCCTTAACTAGACTTTTAATTTGAATTTTTAAGCAGTTCCGATTCAGTGCTGCAGTGTTTGTGTCACTTATGGGTTTAATATGACATTTTAGTTTTAACTAGACTATGATCTGTTCTATTTTTGTATTATACAGTATATTGAGAAATTGGAGTATCAGAGTTTATAGTTGCCAAAGAGATGTAACAACGTTAGCTCAGCCAATTAGCTTCCAGTTATCATACATGCTGTATCCAATCAGGAGTGATGAACCTAGTAGCTTTGTCCCGCAAACAGATGGTCAGGTTATGGCCTCCATCGTATGGCGTGCTCTGTTCGTTTTCCCCTTCCGTTGCAATCTGCTGTACCATACATCACAAATAAATTAGACGACGGTTCTTCCCGCACACTCGCCTTCCTCTTTTCGTTCGAGTGTCTCCCGTCTGTTGTCCAGCCAGTTCTCGTCTCTCCGTACAAGTAATTACTAAAAAAGAGCCAGCTTGACCTACGGCGTAAAGATAACCGAGACAGATGTGCACGTCTAAATATATACTGTAGCTCGCACACAGCCTCAGACCTCAGAAAAAAAAAAAAAAACGAAACATCTGACCCCATTTCCGTCTGCTTCCATTTCACAATATTAAACACGCAGGGGTTGAACACAGGAGCTGAAATTTTATTTTTATTAAATACAAGAAATTGCATTTTACCCTAAACAAATATAAAGACAAATGAAACAAGTCTTGAAGGAAATGTATATTTAAAAAAAAAAAAAAAAAACAGAACACACCAGGAAAAATATATATTTTACTATCCCATGTAAAAGCATACAATTACCATTTTTCTTATCAAGATTTGGATTCAATTATTTAAAACGTGCTTTGAGTTCATCCTTGGTAACCTCCCCCCCCCCCCTGCCATTTAATACTTTACACTCACGATGTACCTGGACCATTTCTCACAAGCATTCTGATTATCAAAGCAAAACAAACCTTGCATTCACTTGTTTGACCACATTTAGTATATAGCAAAAATGAGAATACCTCACAATCAAGGGCAAATGTTCTGTTCTGTCTCAAACATACACACACACACAAGCATATCGACATTTTATTCACCCGGGACCTTTGACACCTATTTCAACACCACTTGAGTGCAGCAATAGGAGATTGCAATACAGAATACAATAAATCACTGACTGAGCTCAGTAAGCCCAGAGCTCAAATGGAATTAAGATGTAGTACCCAGTTCATAAATAGCTTAATACAACTGTACACTACTGCAATTTCAATGGAACTCTCCATACTAGATTGTAATAGTCACAAAAAAAAAAAACAATACAGCTAACACAGGTGTTGTTTAGTAGTCTAGTACTGTTGTTTATTAGTAATCAAAAGACTAAACCCTGAAAAAAATAATGTTCTAAAGAATCAATGAAAAAGAAAAACACATTTTATGAGCAAGCATAGTTTTTACATTTTTTTCCCCAACATGCTTCCGTTAAAAAAAAAAAAACGACCAAGGTATTTCGATAAATCCCTCTGGTCTGGACACGTCCCATCGACATTGTTGATGTCAACCGCGGTGATGCGGTGACATTGAGCACCAAGTGCACACCAGTCCTGACTCGCCATGATGAAGGGAACGAGCTAAGATATCCAGCTGTAGGGCAGAGCCTTCCAAACATTGTCAACAAAGTGTTAAATCCATTCATTCACTGAAATGTGCCCATATCTCATACGAACAAAAATCACCTTATTTCACCTCCCTTGTAGGTATTAGATATTGTGTTAAAGATCTTAAAAAGCTCTAAAAAGTCTAAAGCCTGTCTACTGAGTGACGCCATGTCTTAGAACAACTTACTGCTGAAACGAACAAAATTTACATTGTTATTAAAACAAGATAAGCATTGTATGAACCTCCCACCACAGAATGATTCAGAAGTTGACTGTGGATGGTTTAAGCAGGGCAGACTCCAAAGAGAGACCTACCCCATTTAAAAACCTCTACAGCAAAATAGAACAGACAGGAAACATGCCAAAATTTTTATAAATAAACATCAAAAAGAGAGGAGTGTTTTGTTTGGTCCGAGTCCCCATTAAAATATTACATCCATACATATCCAAGTCTGAACATATACATTCTTCACTAAACCCTAGATTCAAAATACATACATAATTTTTGAAGCAAATACTTAGAGTGCAAACGTTAAGCAATGGGAGAGCTTTTGTATTTACACAAAGTTGTAAAAGGTTGCTTCTCAAACGCGCTCTAAGGAGTTATAACCAAAGGCAATTTCATCTGAGCCATTAAGGTGTAAGGGGGAGGGGGTTTCCTGGGAGTCCAGAGCTTGGGGGGGGGGTGAGGAAAAAAAGGAATAACAACACCACCATTGGTCAATATACAAAAGAAATCATAAAGAAGCAGAGTATCATTCAGTCCCTTTTTTTTGTGTGAGGACCCTGTGCAGAATATTACAGATGCATCAAAGACTGTCCAGGTGACTGGGGGGGGGGACAAGGTGCCTGGTCCCATCCGGGTCCCAGCGGGGGCAGGTCAGGCTCCGGCTGTCCTGGACATGTCTTAGCTAGTAGAAGTGAAGATCCGGGACAAGGGGTATGGGGCTCACCTCTGGTATAGAGTGGCTGTAGCGGAGGATGGGGGGCAAGAAAAGATGGTGAATAGGGGGAAAACGGGCGCGATCGCGCTTCCCATACGATGGACACATGGATGAAACCCAGAAAACACAATGACAGGGCAATCCCAGTTAAAGCTGCTGCAGATTAAGTGTTGGGTGGCTAATGAGTGGCCTGCACTTAATACACCAAGCGGAAGGATTCGCTAACCCAATGAAGACGTCAGAGATCCAAATCCAACACAGCTGCTCATTTGGGATTGCCTTGTTCTCAATGCTCACCTGGTAATATGGTATTGCATGCCTTCAGTTACTCCTTACTCATTTTCCATCTAATAGTACGAGAGCTTCCTTTCTCAAAAGAATCTGGAGGATTTTACCACCCTAACAGGCATGCTTGGTATGCATACCCTGCTTAATCCTCCAAACATCACTTAGCATGCAGACAATG